ATTCATATTCGTCATAAGTTTAATGATCTCTTTTTCACGATTTACAAACTTTAAATAAGTTGAAATGTCAGAAACATTATTTGGGATATTGTCTGGTAATTCACGAGGTAGATCACGAATATATGGTTTAATAGCTTTTTCGATGTTCTCAACAGTTAGAATACATTTGGCTTTGGATAGTAAATTAATAAACATGTTATTAAAGCATCACGTTAATTTCGGACAATTGTTACAACGTGAAGGCTCACCTTGAGGTTCATCTAAATTGGGTTAGGAGACCAGAAAAAGGCAAAGTTAGTTACCGGAAAGGATAGCAGGTCTTTGACGAGTAAACCAACTTACTGTTAACCTGAAAAGCTTTACAAATTTCTTCAGATGTGATATCTGGAAATAATTTTTTGTATTCTTTAGCAAACTCTAGAAAGTTCATATTAATTTTGTCGTAGCAATAAGAAGATGAAGGAGTAAATAAAATGTAAAACGATTTTTTAGCTTTATATATGGTTTAAAATTAACTTTCATCAAGCTATATGAGCGCGTGATTTAAAATTAACTTTTATCAATGTAAGCGCGTCTAATTTCATTGATTAAGAACGTGTTTTGTAAATTGTAAGTCAGAAGTATGAGATTATAGAGAATTGATTAGATTTATCATGAGATATATTATATCAAATATTATCAAGATACATTATGACTTATTTTTGTTACATTATAAATATTAAAAAAATAATAAACTCGATGATGGCGAAACTTTATTGATTTTTTTAAATTTTAAAAATGAGTGAACTAGAAAATACTAGAGAAGCAAATGAAATGTATGATGCTATCAAAGAGGAGGAAGTACGTGAATCCTAGGCCATTTAATGCGAGTCCCAGCATTAGTTATTTCTTTACTCTCTCAAAAATATCTATAACTAATTTATTTCTATCAATATAGCTAACTGAAAGATTCTCACCTCCACGCTCTTTTACTATTCTAGATTTTCTAAATAAATTATCCCACCCATATCTACACCTATCTACAGTATATCACTACCACCTACACAGACTATGTAAAATAATATTTCCCGCAAGAGAGAGGAAGTAATTTCGATTCTATAGAAAGAATTCGAAGATTAGCAATGAGATAATCAATGGAATTAGGCCAATTATATCACTGGTACCGAGTACCTCCAAACCCCTTAGGCTTTTTTTTTATCATTTTTAAATTTTCATTTTATTTAATTTTATTATTATTTATTTATTTTTACCTCTTTAAATTCGATATATACAGCATAATATATAAAGTTTTATTTAATAAAAAAAAATTTTTATTAATAGTCATATATTAAGAATGCATATTTTATTACAATTTTGGAAGTCATAAGCCAAAAATGCATACTGACTATAGTAAAAAGTGCTGTATATAGACATTAATAATTTTTTTTTTAGCTGGATGTTACCTATATTAGTATTATTTAGGATCCTTTACTAATGCTCAAAAATAGACAAAAATTGGATATAATGGATCTTTGAAATTATCTATAGAGAAACGTAGCAGTATTCATGATATTATCAATAACTTTGCAGAAACCCGTGATTTGTTATGACATAGTTAAATTATCATCAATAAATCACAATAATATAATAACGAATATGTGATAACGTAATATGTGACAATCTCATAATATAATTATGAATTATCGAGGATCTATTTTTTCGAAGTCGCTAACATATTATTAATTAGTAGTGAATATAATCGAATATGTTTATTCAAGTTGTTTTTCAAGATGTCTTTAAGAGATTTTTTTGAAGTATTAGATAGTACTTGACAATGTATTTACTGGCTAATAAAGATTGTAATAAAATTTTATTGTATTGTATAAATAAAACATTTTTATTATATTAAATTTCATTGTATTAAAAATAATAAATTTTAATTAATTTTTATTATACTGTATAATAAAAACGATAATAAAAAAATTTTATAATATTAAAGTATAAAGTAAAAATAATAATAAATAATCCCTAATACTCTAATATTTTATAACAATAAAGCATCTACAGACCCCGCCAAAAGTTTCTGAACACCAAGTTTAAATGCAAATAAATACATCGTTATGTCACATGACCAAATGATACTGCGATCATAAGAAGTTACGATTTTTGTTTATGTTAATTTATAATAAAAAGCGTGTTATTTTGACTTACCTCAAAATAAAAACAAACAAACTCTTTCTTC